GAGGGTTTACTCCCTGTCAGATGGTCTTCGGCATTAACCCCCGGATACCCAGCGACATTACGTCGGACGACCCCCTGCAGGTGGTGGGAACAGATGACCTGTCCCCTGGCTCTTGGGATCAGGACACCGCGGCGGCCGAGTTCGCTCGCCAGGACGCCATCCGGAGGTTGGCAAGATATGAACTGTTCGAGTCGTCAAACCAACGTCGTCCGGCTAAAGCAGCACACGCACCCGCCCATCGAGACAAACACTTTTCTCCCGGTCAATGGGTCTACGTCTGGAGGAGAGCTCCCCGGGGGGGCCAGAAAACTTTCGCCCTTCAAAGAGACGGATGGGTTGGTCCAGGACTCGTGGTGCTGCAAAACGGCATGTCGGTTTGGGTTGCGATGAGGTCTCGTCTTTGGAAAATGCTCCACGGAGCAGGTCCGTTTGGCCACGACGGAGGAATCCCGGGGAGCGGAGACCCCGGCTGATTCGTCTGTCCAACAGCTTCTCAGAGAGCCCAAACCAGCGCGCATCGGGCTAGGACAAACGTCTCCAGTGAGGGACCCCCTCCCCCCGGAGCGTGGGCCCCTGACGCCCCCGTCGAGGTCGCCCCCCCCCAGAGACGGCGCCCGCGGTAGAGGCGGATGGCGGAGCCGCCGCGGGGGGGTCCCGACATTGTCCCCCCATCTGTTGCCTCAGGAGAAGGGGGGGAATTCGGCGGTCAACTCGGGGCTCTCCCACCTCTGTCTCCTCCAGGTCTGGCCCCGATTCCCGAGGAGGTTGCCCTGCCGGCCCATTCTGAAGGGACGTGTGCTCCCGAGTCCTTGGAGAACAGATCCGAGGTCCCATTCTCATCTGGGCCCTCCAGGCAGACTTCTGGGCAGTCCCAGAGGGCTCGTAGCGTTGCCGAGCGAGGCGGCGATTCGGGTCGCGCCACGCGCTCAAGGCCCACTCCCCCTCAAGGTGAAAAAAGGGACAGGGAGCTAGGCGATGTCCCTCCCAACAGTCCTCATTTTGAAGCCTCGGCTGCCAGTGTTCCGCCCGCGCCAGTGCTCCTAGGCTTGCGCTGTCCGATTCTGCCTCTCAGCATCGCTCAGCGGAGCCAGTGGACCCTGGTCGGCTCATTCTCTTGATGCAGGACACGGAGGGACTTAGGCGTCTGGATGGAGGGAGCGGTAGAATGACCCGCACTCCAGGGGAGGCTTTTCGGGGAGTTCAGGAAGGCAGAGTGAGGCAACAGGTTAGAGAACTTGAGGCCTCCGCTCGACAAAGGTCTCACTCGCCACGAGGAGGAGATCGTACCGAGGGCGGCGGGGACATGACTATGACCCTTCCTGCCCATATGGACGAAGAGGTCGACCTTCTCGATCAGTTAGAACAGGAAATCCAGTCCCAGGGATGGAGCGGGTCCCGGGAGACCTACGCCAACGGAAATGCCGACGTGGAAGTCGTCCCTGAGGAAGATGGATCCGTTTCTCTTTCTCTCCTGGCCAATCGAGGGGCCGAGGTTCAGTACAAGCGTCTTAGCCCAGAAGAGAAGGGAGATCGACATCTCCGACGCGAACGAATGGAAAGCTATATCCGAGGGAACCAAGGCTGTGATAGTGCACCCCCCCAAGGAAGCCAATGAGCTCCGCCGGCTTTTCCCGAGCCGGATCGTTTCGAGCTGCATGGTCCGAAGGTGGAAACCCCAGGAGGGAACCTTGTCGAGGGGAAAAGACAAATCCAGGTGGTGTGTTCGGGGTCATCAGGACGAAGACGCGGCGGAACTTCAGGTCTATGCTCCTACTCCATGCATGGAGGCTCTCATGCTGTTTCTCGTCACGTCTCTCATGTATCGTCTTACTATATATATATTGGGGATATCAAGAATGCTTTCTGTCAGTCCGAACCTCTCAAGCGCGCTCGAGGCCGAGTGTTCGTGGAACCGTGCGACGGAGTCCCGGTTCCGCCCGGCTCACTCATGGAGTTGATAGCGCCCGTCTACGGCCTAGACGACGCGCCCCTCGCCTTTCACCGCGCCGCGGCCAATTTCTTGAAGTCGCGGGGCTTCGAACGCACTAAGCTCGAGCCCCGCTGGTTCGTGGAGCGAGCCCGCGGCGAGTTGCAGGCGCAGGTCCTAGTGGAAGTAGACGACTGGGCCATAGCGTTCAGGGAAGGCAGAGACAACAACTACCTGGAACCTTTTCAGGGGCGTTTCGCGTTTGGGAAGATGAGACTCCTGGATGCCGCCGGGGTGGAATACATAGGCCGTAGGCCTCGGTTCACCGGGGGCCGAGTTCTGGTCGATCAAGAAAAATATATCCTGGAGCAACTTAATAAGATTTCCCTAGCACGAGGCGTAGAGGAGACCACGCGGGCCCCCTCGTCGGAGGGGAAGTGGCGGCTTTTAGGAGCCTCGTTTACAAACTCCAGTGGGTCGGCAGGGAAACCCGCGCCGAGGCCGCGGGGGCCGCTTCTATTCTGGCCACAAGTCAACAGTCCCTGTGTGACAGATTTGCTGGATGCGAATAAGATGGTCGACCATCTCAGGTCGACGGCCTCTCTTCCGATCATCGTCTGGCGGTTTAAACCCGACGGTTTCGTGCTAGCGACTGCGAGTGATTGTGGAGGGGTGGGGGCTGAGGATAAGTGGGGGCCCCAGCATCCTCAGGAAGCTTGGCAGATCTACATGGCCGACAATTCGCTGGCCCACGGGTTCCGGGCCCGAGTCGCCCCCCTTGCCTGGAGGTCCGGGAAACTACGGCGCCAAGTGGCGTCTAGTTTGGCCGGGGAGACTTTAGCTCTTTCCAGTGCTCTTGGGGAAGCCGAGTGGCTGCATATTCTCCTGCTGGACGTCGCGCGTGGGAGCGTAGTGAACGAACGCTGGCGGGATAATCTCTTAGGCGGGGCGAACAGGGCCATCCAGAAGGTGGGCCGTCGAAAGGGTGCATGGAACGGCTTTCGGGGAGGCGTTCCAAGATTTTTGGAACGCCTTTCCGCCCAGCGTTCGGAGCAGTTCGGTCGCCTCGGCCCACGGCCCGCTACCGCGTCGACATGGAGACACCTCGATGCGGGATCAGGCCGCACGAGTGAAGCCAAATTGTCTGCGAGGGGCAGCCTTGGAATTGCTGTTCTGCCACCCTCTCTCCTTATCGTCCTACGTGTGCCCGTCGACCGCCGCGCCCTTTCCATGGCGCCAAATTGGCCACTTCGCCTGGTCTGCCCCGTGCACGCTCCCGTGCTGGCCCTCCCCCTGCCTCCGCCCACCGCGCAGCCCCTTGCCCCCTCCGCCGCCACCTCCCCTTTTCTCCCTTCACTCTCGCATTATTGCTGTGGCGCGAAACAGAAGTGGAAAGGAAGCGGGTGTCCGCCAGACAGCGCAGACCAACCCGAGGGATCGTATTCACACGCGGATGGCATCAAAAAGTCCGCTACGGCGCTGAGAGCGCATGCGAATTCTGATGGTGGTTCTGGCGAGTATGTTGCTAAGGCTTCACGTCGTCCTTCTCTTGTGGGCCCGCCATTGCGTCGTGGTGGTGGTGCGCGCGCTGCTGCTGGCGGCGTCGCTGCTGCCAACGGTGTTGTTGGTGCTGGTGATCGCGGCGGTGCTGCTGGTGCTAATGGTGGCCCTACTGCTGGCGCTGGTCCTTGTGATGCCGCTGCTGTCGCAGATGGTGCTGTTCGCGGTGGTGGTGGTGGCGCTGGCGGCGATGCTGCTGGTGCCGCTGATGGCACTGGCGGTAGTGTCACGATTGCCGCTGGCGGCGGCAACGGGAAGAATTCTGGTTCCTCTGGCTGGCGCTAGTGGCGTTCGTGTCGGGGAGGCCCGTGTTGTTGCTGATGGTTTTCAGCCACGAACGCTGAGGGAAAAGGAATCCGCCATCGCGCCTCGGGCACGGAGTGGGCGTGTCCTCAGGTCGTGTGCCTCATCCCTTGAGCCTCCGTCCTCCTCCTGAGGAGTCTTTAAAGGACCAGGGCCCAAATTCCAAAATCTCCTGGGGCTTGTCGCGTGCCGGCGCAGCTTGTCGCATGACTGTATCGGGCCCACCAGGGCCCCAAAACGGGCCAAGAGGGCCCCAAGCAGCCCCCAAGTCGGCCCAAGAGGGCCCCGAATCGCCCAAAGATCGGCCAAAGAAGCCCAAGATCGCCCCAAGACGGCCCAAGAAGCCTCCAAGAGGGCACAACAGCCCTCCAAGAGCAGTCCTAAGAGGGGCCCAAGAGGCCAAAATCGTCAAATTCCTATGGGCAAACGTACATTTTTGTCATATACGACTTGTCCGCCTTCACAACGTTGAAGACGGTCCAAGAGCCCCCCAAGACCGCCCCAAGATGGCCCAAGAGACCCCCAAGAGGCGCCCAAGTCGGCCCACGAGGGCCCCAAGACGGCCCAAGAGGCCCCCAAGACAGCCCAAGAGGGCCCCAAGACGGCCCCAAGAGAGGCCCAAGAGGGGGAGCCCCAACCGACAATCCGAGCCTTCCACCCCAAGACGGCCCCAGAAGGCCCCAAGAGGCGCCCAAGAGGCCCCAAGAGGCCCCCAAGAAGCCCCCAAGGAGCCGCCAAGAGGCCCCAGGAGGCCCCCAAGAGGCCCAAAAGAGGCCCCAAGTACCACTTGAGGCATGTAGCTTCTAACCCGCAAACCCAGGCACCAAGGATCCTATACCGCGAGACCCCTACATACGTACAAGAGGCCACAGGCCCAAAACCAAGGCACGGTGGCGGGATTGCGCTTGCGCAATAGATAGGAGGAGAAGGATGGAAGAGGACAGGAAAAGGAAAAGGAGCAGGAGGAGTACGGGAGGGAGGCGCCCCGCGACGACGCTTTTTTTCCGCCGCTCCCGGCAGAGTGCGATCCATTGCGTCAGCGGCGCGACGGCGCGCGAGCAGTGTATTCAGGCTGTGGCCGCTGCAAACAATGCAGGCTTCTTGCCGCAGTCCGTGCGTCGGGTCAATATGCGCGTTCTGTCGCGCACTAAAAAATCTAGTCTGGCACTGCTCAGGCTTGTCGCCGCTGGTGCCCAGTGAGCCTCGCCGCTCAGTTGCCCTTGGCGCCGGTGCTCTTGGCGTTGAGGCGCCTGCGCAGCGCCTCCGCCACGCCGGCGCCCGAAGGGGGCGAAGGCGAGGGCCGCTTGACGCCGCTCGCGCTGCTTGCCGCGGAAATGCCCTTGTCCTTGGGGGTCGCCACCTGTTTGAGCGTCTTGAAGAGGTCGCCCTGCCACTTGACAGAGGTCGCCGTGGGCATCGGCACGTTCAGGGCTGCGAACTCCTCGTGGACGGACTGGATCCTGTGCGTGCGTGTGCCTGTGGCCAGCAGGAGGTCGGTCGTCCAGTCGAAAGGGTTCTCCACCGTGAGGTCCCCTGCCTCCACCTTGACCACGGACTTCTCGGCCTTCGTGTCCAGGATGCACGTGAGATTCCAGCTGTTGTCCTCCGCCTCCTGGGGGTCGAAGTAGCCCCTCAGAATCTCAGCGGACGTCTTCCCCTTCAGGGGCGACCCGATGCCCGTGTAGTGCTGGCTTATCGCCGTACCCAACGAGGTCCAAGTCTCCATGCCCTCGTAGATCACGTTCGGGGTCTGGGTATCCATGGACACCCTGAGGGCGAAGCACAGCACCTCGAGTTTGCAATCCTTGTACCACGCGTCCGCGGGCTCGTCCTTGGGGAAGATTTCGGGCTCGATTGCGTGCAGCAAGTGCTCCACCAGGCCGTTCTGCCTGCCGGAATCGCATGCGCTGTTTTCCCATTGCGAAAGGCCCAGGAGGAAAGGTGGGGGACAGGAGGAGGAGGAGGAACGGGGAGGAGGAGGGGGAGGGAGGAGGAGGAGGAGGAGGAGGAGGGAGGGGGGAGAAGGAGGAGGAGGAGGGAGGGGGAGATGGAGGAGGGAGGGGGAGGGGGAGGAGGGAAGGGGAGGACGAGGAGGACGAGGAGGGAGGAGGAAGGAAGGAGGAGGAAGAGTGAGGGAACGGAGGAATGTAAGGAGGAGGAGGGGGGGGGGGAGGGAACTAGGGAAAAAATTGAGAGAGGGAAGTAAGAGAGGCGGCAGCGTGGGAGGGCACCCGCCCTCTTCAACCCAGCGCCTGGAAAGGTGTCCAAACTTCTTAATGCCAACGCGGAGCTTCTTCCCCACGTCCTCAGGAGGAGGCCCCTCTGGCTTCGCGCCGCACTGCCCCTCGGCCGACGCCTTCAAGACGGCGCGCCACTCGTCGTTGTGCAGGAGCGCGTTCACGTGGTACAACAGCGCGACGTCCTTCCGAAGAACCTCGCAGACCGACGAGATCGCCTGCTCTGTCGCCGCGCTGCCCGCGTGAGCGAGGCTGGCCACGATCGCCTCGGCCTGTTTGTCAGCTGCCTTCTCGTCGCGAGTCGGCATGGGGCCGCGGTCTTCGAATGTTGGCCTGAACCGGACTTGGGGGCAAAGTCAGGACTTCGCAAGGGCGCTTGAGCCAAAATGTGGCGACGGCCAGTCCATCCATGCAAAGGGGGGCACGGAGTGGTAGCAGCATCCTCGGGAGGTGCAGCGCCGCGGTTTTGAAGAAGAAGGAGAGGAGTTGAAGAAAAACATTCAAAACCCGAACCCGCAGCAACATCAGCAGGGCGAGGGAGGCGAGGAGGGGGGAAGGGAGGACGATGAGGAGGAGGAGACGGACGCTGCGGAGGTTCATGCGAGCGGCCCACATATACGCGCATGGGCGCGCGGGGACCTACGAGCAGGAACATGGAGGAACAGGTATTGATGGCAACCCCTCAACGCCGCTCTTCCCGACGACCATGCTCAATGCGAAGTGCGTTCTTGTAGGGTGGCTCTTCCAGCGCCCCAGCGCCTTTGCCGTCAACACCCTGCATGGCGGCACCAGTTTCTCGAGCTGCGCCCAACTGCGGCGACGAGAGGGAAGGGCCCCAAAGACTACAGAACCTCGAGCCAGGATCCTCGAGGTTCGAGGCTGGAGCCTCGACGTGAACCAGCTGCGCCCTGGATCGGGGTGAACGCCCCCTTGGCTTGGCCAGGGGGACACGCGCGCCAATCCCAGGCGCAGGGAGCCGGCCGATCGATACAGGCGAGTAGCTGGCGCCCTCCGATACCATCTGCCCCTTTGCCCCCGTGTCCATTGTAAGCACGAAGGATACAGGAAGGACCAGGGAGGACGCAAGAGGAAGAGGGGGGGAGGGGGAGGGAGGATGGAAGATGGAGGTGACAGGAGGAGGGAGGTGGGCGCGCGCGCGCCTGGGCGTGCGGGGCCGGGCAGCGTTTCTTATCTCTGCGGGCCTCGAGAACCGCGGCGCACTCGTGCTATTGCTCGTGCAGGTCGCACCGCAGACCGCGCAACGCTCCGCCGTTGCGCCACTGCCAGCTCGCTGACTACCCCGCCTCCTGGCAGACAACTGGCCAGTGCGATGGCGCTGCTCGCCGCGGGAAAAACTGACCGGCTGCCCCAGGCTTGTCGCCGCTCGGTCGCACGAGTCTTGGCGGAGGTGCGGTTTCGCACCCTGGGCTGGCGCCGCCAGCTTAAACGGGGGCCGCCTCCTGCCAACGCGCCGCCAGCTCAGCCATGCTGAAGGGTGCGTCGGCGCCGCTGAAGTCAGAATGGAACGCCCAGCCCTGGTGGATGACCTCGCACGCAGCCTTCTCGTACCCTCTCCTCGTCCACGAAATGGACTTCCACTTGTTCAGGCCCGAGTGGATCACGCGCCAACGGCCGTTGTAATCGTCGCACTGCACATCCACGCTGGGGGGGGCGTAGCCGCCAATCCATTGGGTGATGGCCCTCGTGTTCTGCGCGTCCGCCGGCGGTAGCCACCGCGGACCCTTCTTCTGCGCCGCAGAGTACTTCGGGGCCGCTGCTTTCTTGAAGTACTTATTGACGCGGACCTTGCGGGTCCTGACAATCAGGTCCCTCTTGGCGTGGGACTCGGCGACGCGAGCGGAATACTCATGGCAAGCTTTCGCCTCGCCAGGCACCAAGACCTCCCCCAACATATCGGGCGACACATGCAGGTCCGAGTAGCAATCCGGGCTTTCAGCCGCCATGCCGCGGGCCACTGCTGAACAAGCCTCGCCCTCTGACGCACCAGGCTTAATCGCCGCTATGCACGCCAGCACCAGGTCTGTCTTCCTATCCACCTCCTCTTCTCCAAGCACAGGCACAGTTTTCTTCCTGGCGAGGAGGAGATCCTCCAGGCTACGTTCGGGTACGTGCGCGAAGCCTGCGTCGGCCTGGGCGTCGAGCAAGGGCTGCGGCGCGCCCGCTGCAGCCCTGACACCGATTTGCTTGCCCTTGTGTCCCTGGAAGGACGACCAAATATAGCAATCATGCCCTTCCCCATGCTCATTTGCCCTCTCCCTCCCCGCTTTAAACAGGGGAGGGTGCGCAGAAAAGGGGGTTGGACGTGGCCCATTCTGAATCCCACCAGCCCTCTGGGCGTGAATGGTTTAGACAGCCCTTTCTGTTCAACCCGCTTCTTCCCCCTTCGGGAAAAGGGTTTACCCCCTCCCAATACCCCATCCCCTGGGCCTGGAAGGGGCGTTCCGCGATGGGTTGGAGCGTCCTTTGGGGCCCAAGATGGCCCCAATATGCCCCATATCGCCCAAGGTAGCCCTCGATGTCGCCCAAGGTAGCCCTCGATGACTCAATATAGCTCCCAACAACCTACAAGGCGCTCCAAGACCGCGCCAATACGGCTCCAACTGGCCACGGTGCCTCCCAAGGACGCCCCCGTGATGCTAAAATCTGTCCTGTCCAAGGCCTAAAGAAAATAAATGTTTTTGCGTTCTCGCCTTTTCGCTTCCGACGGGCTTTGGGGCTTCAATATGGCTGCAACATGGCCCGAGAGAGCCCCAATGCGGGCCCAATCGAGGCCCAATATGGGCCCAAGAGCGCCCAAGAGCGCCCCAAGAGCGGCCCAAGAGGGCCCAAAGAGAAGGTCTGTCGGGCTCCGGCGGGCGTAATTGACGCCGCCCTCTTTTTTGAGCCGTGGCCTCCAGGATGGCCCCAAGAGACCTCCCAGAACCCTTAAAAAATGTAACGCGGCCGAAGTTCCCCAGAAGAGCCCCAAGAGAGACCCCACAGGCACCACGAGGACGCCGAAAGGAGGGAGGAGGATGAGGAACAGCAGCAGGAGGTACAAGGAGGTAGGAGGGAGGAGGAACAGGAGGATATATGCGAGTGTAGGAGGAAGCACGCCCGAAAACCACTTCAACCGGAATGCTTCGCAAAAGTTACTGTTTGGGGATGGGCTGGTGGGCATACGCGAAACGTGAACAATTACACAAAGGCTTCGGCTCCCCATGGAAAGTCCTCGGTGAAGAGGCGGATGGGAGATTTCCAGGAGCATGGGAAAATCTCCACCTCGTCCTCGCCGAAGACCACCTTCCAAACCAGCGACGCGCAGTCCTTGGCTTTTCGCCACATCCCTGGGGATTCTTCCTCTGCGGGCCAGCACAGGGCAGCGCAGCTGTACGCTTTGACGATGAACATCATTTCCCCTGTGGCCTTGAACCGCACAAGGCCGCCCTGCGGAAGCAAACCGCAGATCCACGCGTCGTTCGCCTTGTGCCACCAGTTGTTCTCGTGCAGGACTCGGAGGAACGCCATCTCAGCTGCCAAAGATTGCTCTGACTCCGGCGTGAATGCCTTGAAGGCGGACTCGTCGCGGACCCGCGCGGTCGACGACAGCAGAGCGTTCCTTTTGTTCACCCTCGCCTTCGCTTCCTCGCCCGCTCCAGCGGGCACGGGGCGCGGGTTGTCGCTCGCGTCCGCGTGCAGCGCTGCTAACTCGTCGACTTGGTGACCGGCTCAAGCTCCTTCCGCGAGAACTCGCCGATCACGTCGTAAGAGTTGAGCGTGTGCCACTGCCTCGACAGCGACACCACCTGCGGTAGCGGTGGATGCGGTCGTTCTCCCCCCTCCTCCTCCTCCTCCCCCTCCTCCCCCTCCTCCCCCTCCCCCTCCTCCTCCTCCTTCCCATCCTCCTCCTCCTCCCCCTCCTCCTCCTCCTCCTCCCCCTCCCCCTCCTCCCCCTCCTCCTCCTCCTCCCCCTCCTCCCCATCCTCCCCCTCCTCCTCCTCCTCCCCCCTCCTCCTCCTCCTCCTCCCCCATCTCCCTTCCTCCTCCTCCCCCCTTCCTCCTTCTCCCCCATCGGGTCAGACCCTCGGGCTTCCTCACACCGCAGCGGACAGTCCCAGGGGATGGGGAAGGCAGGCCCAAAAGCTTTTTGGGCGAGAACTGACGCCTTGCTCGGGCTACCGGAATGCTCGGCCTCACGCAAAACCTTGTTCCCTTTCTCGCACACGCGCGTCTGCACCCAGCCCGAAAAGAGGTTCCGCAGAAGGTCCGCCAACGGCTGCGCCACGACGGTGAACTGGCTTGTCGCCGCAAGCCCCATGCACCAGAGGTAGAAGGGCTGATGCAGCCGACACCTGCCCACGGCGGACACGACCCTCGGGAACTCCTTGTGCTCCTCTCAGGCCGAAGGAAGCGGAGGGGGTTGGAGGCGGCAGGTAGGATAGCGTTGGAGGCCAGGGCGGGAGAGGAGGAGGAGGAGGAGGATAGAGGAGGAGGATAGAGGAGGAGGATAGAGGAGGAGGAGGAGGAGTTGGCAGAGGCGGCCATACAAACGTGGAATATAGAAAAACCTATACAATATGCGAGGCGCGCGCGCTTTGGTGACCGACGGGGGGGGGCGGGTCACCAAAACTCAATGGTCGAAACCCAATGTAAAATTTCATTCTCTGGGCCCAAGAGGCGGCAATATATACGTGGAATATAGGAAAACTATACAATATGCGAGGCGCGCGCGCGCTCTGGTGACCCACGGGGGGTGGGTCACCAAAACTCAATGGTCAAAACCCAATGTAAAATTTCATTCTCTGGGCCCAAGAGGCGGCCATATAGACGTGGAATATGGGACAAACTATACAATGTGCGAGGCGCGCGCGCGCTCTGGTGACCCGCGGGGGGCGGGTCACCAAAACCCAATGGTCGAAACCCAATGTAAAATTTCATTCTCTGGGCCCAAGAGGCGGCCATATAAACGTGGCCCACAGGGTCGGCGCGCGCACCGCACAGGTGACCCGCCATGGGGTGGGCCACCCGAAAGCTGGGTGGGGGAAACCAATTGTTTCACTTGCATTCTGGGCCTCAACATGGGTGAGTAGGTTCGTACTCCTTCCGCTCCCCTGCCGCAGCGCGCACCGTACAGGTGACCCACCAGGGGTGGGTGACCCGAGAACTGGTCTGAACAGCCAATTGCGTCACTTGCGTACTGGGCCTCAACATGAGTGGGTGAATTCGTACTCCTTGCGCTGCTCCGGCGCAGCGCGCACCGAACACGTGACCCACCAGAGGGTGGATCACCGGAAAATTGGGTTGGAAACACACAATGGAATTATTTGCGTCCTGGGTCTCAACATGAGATTGTGAATTCGCATTCCTTGCTCCCCGCTGGTGCAGCGCGCACCGCACAGGTGACCCACCAGAGGGTGGGCCACCCGAAAACTTTGTGGGGGAAACCAAATGCTTCACTTGCATTCTGGGTGTCGACATGAGTTGCTGAATTCGTACTCCTTGCGTTCCCCTGGCGCAGCGCGCACCGCCCAACAGACCCAACAGGGGGTGGGTCACCCGAAAACTTGGTGGGGGAACCAATTGTTTCACTTACATTTTGGGCCCCAACATGGTTTGGTGAATTCGTACTCCTTGCGCTCCCCTGCCGTAGCGCGCACCGCGCAGGTGACCCACCAGGGGGTGGGTCATCAGAAAACTGATGGGGCAACATATAGTTTCATTTGCATTTTGAGCCTCAACATGGGTTTGTGAATTCGCACTCCTTGCGCTCCGCTGGTGCAGCGCGTGCCGCACAGGTGACCCACCAGTGGGGTGGGTCACCCGAAAACTTGGTTGGGAACCAATTGTTTCACTTGCAATATGGGCCTCAACATGACTTGGTGAATTCGTACTCCTTGCGTTCCTCCGGTGCACCGCGCACCGTACAAGTGACCCACCAGGGGGGGGTCACCCGGAAATTGTGTGAGAAAAACCACTTGTGTCACTTGCGTGCTGGGCCTCAACATGAATTGGTGAATTCCTACTCCTTGCGCTCCCGTGGCGCAGTGCGCACCGCACAGGTGACCCACCAGGGACGGGGGGGGGAGGAGGGAGGCGAGGACGGAGGGAGAACTTGGAGAAGAGGGAGGGGGGAGGGAGGCGATGGATGCGAAGATGGAGGGAGGAGGGAAGGAGGAGGGGGGGGGGAGCCGCGAGGGAGGAAGATGTTGGAGCGATCTGAAGGCATGAGGAAAAAACGCAGAATCTGCACGAGGCGGAGCCCCGTGTCGGAAAATCTTTGAGTCTCGCAGGCGTCCTGCGCCGCCCAGAAAGCACGAGCGTCGTTGTGGAACTCCTTCATGGTGGCGTCCCTGACGGCCTGGTCGTTGGACGTCAGCCCGGCCAGCTTCCCTGGGTAGTAGAAGGTACGCTGCGCCAGGGACCCACACCTGGCAGAGATGATGTGGTCGACCAAAGAGCCGAGTCTGTGTGCCAAGGCGTCCTGGTATCGAAGCGTGGCCTCTTCAGGCTTATCGCCGTGAAGCATTGCCGAGGTCAGGTTCACTATGAAACCACACTGCTGTAGGCCTGGACCGCTGTCCAAGCAAGACAAGGTCTCCCTCAGACTCCCGAGCCACTCCTGCCCAGACCAGCGCTGGCACCAGTCCAGCGTCTTCTCCATGCTGGTGAGCTCGCTGGCCAATTTCCAGAAAGCCTTGTGCTGCGCCGCGGAAGCATGAAGCACCATACGTATGCCATTGACAACGTCGTCGTCGCAGAGCAGCCTGGTGGCGGTCACGACTGTGTTTTGCGCCTTGGCCTTGAGTCTCTCGAGCTTTGCTTTAGCTGCCTTCAATGCAGCAGCCTTCGACGTCGGGTCTGGCTGATCGCCGGAATCCACATTGAGCAGACGAGTGCTGGTGAAGAGGTCCTCAGAAGCGAGAAGCCATGCTTTCTCTGTGCACAACGCGCACAGCGTGAGAGTCCGAGACGCCAGCTTCTGGTTCCAGTCCTCGCCAGCAACGAGGAAGGACATCCACTGAGAAGGGGCCACCTTCTTTCCGAGCAAGGCGAAATCCTTCGGCAACTCTCGGAGCCACCGCGCGCGGGCTTCCTCCGCGTTCTCCGCTGGGTCGAGGGGGTGCTCGAGCTGCCTCCTGGGCCAGAAGCGCTGCACGAGGATGGAATTAGTGTTGAGCGCAACAGACAGGCGTTTCGCCTCTGCGCACATCTGGTGGAAGAAGGCCGCGGACTGCCACGGACCGTAGCCGATGTTGAAGATTAGCGTGCCCGCCTGCACAGCGGGCGCGAGGCCTGTCAGGCTTATCGCCGTTGCCAAGTCATTGTGCCACCGGTGGAAATCGTCGGCAAGGCGGACGCCAGTGCACCCCAGACCCTCCGGTGCTGGTCTGAAAATGAACTCCCCGCCCGTGATTTGCAGCTGCTCTTGATCTGTGCAGAGCGCAAGGCTCGCCACCTCCAACCCGACTGGCAGCGGAGGGAGTGGATCTGGAAACTTCCCTGTCCGGGCGCCCTGGAGCAGCCCAAGCCCATCGAGTTTCTCAAGGTTTTGGAACCTTTCCAAACCCTCGTCGGCGAAGATCTCCACGAACCTGTCCACTCGGAGGACGAACTTTTGCGAAGCCTCCCGCGGCGGATTCTTCGCGATGACCTTGTTCGCAGCCCGCTTCTGCGCCAGGGTGCCCTGTGGCGGCATCCAAAGAAAGAGGGTTGTTGCGATGAAGTGGGATCCCCTCTCCTCGCAGTCGTTCCCCCCCCCCGGCGCTCCATCAGTTTGAATTTTTAACCTGTGCTGCCTTCTCCCCGCATCCCCAAAACAAACCTATTCTCACGATGCGCCTTGTCGTCCGCGAAGAAGCCCGCGGAGATCTTGGCCAAGCGCGTCCGCGCTGCTCGCCGTTCACCCTCCGTGCCCACAGGTGCCACACCAGTGTCGTTCAGCGCCTCACGGATGCTAGTCCGCTACTTAAATCTGCCAACCGCACCCATTTTCTCTCGCACTCTGCCTCCCTCATCCCTCCCCCCCTCCCCCTCCCTTCCCCCAGCTCCCCTGTCCTATTTCGCCTTCCCCCGTCCCCTTCCCCTTCCCTCCCTCCATTTGCCCCTTTCTTCCAACCTCGTGCTCTCCCGCTCCCACCCCTCCCCATTCCCTCCGCCGCCAGCCCTTCCCGAACGCTGTTCCGGGAAGGCGCGCAGCCCTTCCCGAACGCTGTTCCGCGGAGGCCGAATGGAGGCCCCAAGTGGGCCATCCGTCCGGCTGATGCCCCGAGGCCCCAAGTGGGCCATCCACCCGGCTCCTGGAGGCCGCCCCCCCCGAGGCCCCAAGTGGGCCATCCATCCGGCTCATGCACGCCCCCGACCCTCGCACGCCCTGCGCGCAACCCCCTCGCCGCCCCCAGGCCCCAAGTGGGCCATCCACCCGGCTCATGGAACATCACACCGGGGCACCCAGTACGCCTGCACCGGTCCAGGGCCCCAAGTGGGCCATCCGTCCGGCTGATGCTCCGAGGCCCCAAGTGGGCCATCCACCCGGCTCATGGAACCCTCTCCCAGAGCTCCCTCGGAAAGGCGTTCCGCGCCTCGGGGGAAGGGTACTCGCGCGCCTGGCCGCCTTGGCTCCCGCGACCCAGGGCGTCCTTGCACCGATCCCAACCCCCCCCCTCTCCCTCCCCTTCTCCTCCTCCCATCCCTCCCTCCCTCCTTCCCTCCCTCCCGCTAGCATTCCTGCCCTCTCGCCCCGCACCTCGTCCCCGTTCCCCAGCCGCCCCCCTGTGGCACCATAGGCGGTGCCCAGAAGTGGACGCCAGCAGGGACCACCTCCTCTTCCTCGGT